CAAATGGCCTCATAAGTGTAAATAATACCAGAGCGAAGCTGGTAATAATATTTATCTTCTGCCATAAGGATCAAAAATCTAGCTGCAAAGGTCAGTGAATCGACTTTTGTCTTGATCAGTATAAGAGTAAGACAAAAAATATGACACTAAATACAGTTATTTAGTGTCCCAAAATAAGTTTTTATTGACTTGCTTCGTGGATTGCAATAGTAGATAAAATATGCAAATGACACACTGAAGTGCATAAGGCGTAGCCTTATGTTAGTGAGCTGTATTTCAATGTAGGCAAATCCTTTTTTCAAGTGGCCTGTGGATGGGATAATGGAGAAGTAAAATTACTGGTAGGTGTAATTTCATGTTGTTTCATTCCCCGTGGGTGCAACAGAACTAAAATACGCTTGTATAGAAACTTTTGCTCATCTCAAAATGTAGGTTTTTGCTAATGCTTTTGTTCTTTCTATTTTAAGACTTGTTTTCATGAACAATTACCCATTCAAAGTAATCTTGGCTCCCCCCCTTAGCGCGTTGGTATTTTATACTTGAACGCACTTTAGACTTAGTTCTGTTGCCATTTTTCTCAGTAGGACTAAGTCCTTTTTTCAAAAAATTGTTCTGCAGTTTTGCATATCTATCGGATTAGCATTTACTGTGCCTTTTTCAGACTGCTAGAAAGAGACTACTATAATAATTCTGAACATTTTCTCTGTGGAAAGGAAACTGTTGGACTGTTTCTTTGTCCCACTGAAGAATGTGTGTTCATATCAGAGGGTAATTTCATAAAATGGCAGTCTTCCAGCTTAGATGAATATTTATACCATGTTTTCATTATTGTCATTTGCATTAATATTTGGATTACTATCTACACCTTCAAATGCTACTGATGGGAGAGTTGACGCTTGCTCTGTACCGCCGGCAGAAGAGGGGTCATGGGGGGAGCAGAGCAGGAAGGAGGCGGTCAGTGGAGGAAAGGGGTGGGCAGAGGAGGAACGGGGCAGCAATGAGGAACAGGGCGGGTAGCGGAGGAATGGGGCAGCAGTGGAGATACAGGGGGTGGGGCATCAGGGAATGCAGAGTCACTGCAGTCTCTCCTCCCTATTGGTGCCAGCCGTAGTGGTCTGTATCCCCACATCCTCTGCCTACACAGGTGGGAAGAGCAGCGAGAATTGAAAGGAAAACAGACCAGCCAGCACCAGCGAGGAGGAGAATGGAAGATTCAACAAATTGAATATCAACTAATCAATTTTATCGATTAGTTGTTGGAGCCCTAAATAGGAAGTGCTCTACACCACTTCCTGTTCATTCATGATTGTGGACATAGTAACTCATACAATATCCACAGTTTATGAATGTACAGGATCACTCACTATAGAGGCTTCCAGATCATTCATAAGAGGGGCTGCAATAAATATTATTTTTTTTTTTTAACAGGTTAGGGGGAAAAAAATGTTTGGTTTTGGCCTGAAACTTTTTTATTTTCGGTTTCGGTCTGAAAATGCAATTTCCGTCTAGTATTGGCACCTAAAAGAAGATGGCACCTTTCTCCTTATGCATTGTAGTTTGTTAGAGTATGGTGACTCATTATTATATGGTGAGTCATTAGAATAAGTTCTAATGACTAGAAGGTGTTGAGTTCGTAACACTGTTCATACTGTGATTCAGATATTTTAGACCTGGCTATAGCAACTCTAGTAATATTTGCTATATTGGAATCACTTTATTCATGATGGCTCCTAATCTGTGGGAGATTGCAATCAATTCCTGGTTTTGAGGAAACTAGGCTTAATTTACATCCATGATATTTGTACAATATGAAAACCCTTTAAACAAACCATGTGCTTATCTGCTGCCGAATAAATTGTTCCCAAAAGTGTTTTTATTGCTTATTGTTTTGGTAAGTAAGCAAATAATAAAACAATCATACTTTTTCATTTTCTATGTATATAGCAGCCTCCGGTATTAACTACCTTGCAAGCGGTTGCTTCACTGGAAAAAATCTGGTACATTAATTAAAAATGACAAAAGGTACCTAACCCGTAGCTGCAGCAGACAATAGCTACATTTAAAGATGTTCTTCTCATTCTCTTTGAGTAAACAACAAGCATTCAGCGCTTTTATGTCTGGCATGTGTGTGATTTTTGATTTATTTTTGTCTGTCCCGTTCCTTTCTTGCATTATGCAAATCATAAAGCATTCATTAAACCTGCCCACGTTTAATAGTAGTACATACACCCAAGCTGACGATTGAGTTCAGTAACCCTGTGCATATTTTGGTCTTCCATGAACCTAAAATAGATGATGTTTATACTTTGCTGTTTAAAGACAAAATTAATGTTTGGGGAACATGGTTTATGTAAACGTGACGTGTAGTAAAATTAAACTTCCTATCCTAACCAGCATACAATAATAAATTGTGAGGAAAAACATGTTCGTTCTGTCCAGCAGAAAAAAAAAAATGCTTCTAAATCCCACAGTGGCATGTCATATTTTGGCTAAAGGGAATGATCAGAAATCAGCCACTGGTTGACTTCTTCTGCCTAAAGGTCAGTCACCTAGCCTTCTTCAGCTAAGATAAGCTGGAAACCGTGGCATTTGTTGTAAAGCTATGAATTTATGACCGTCAAATGTTAGAAGCCAAATAAATTACCCCATGGCACTAAAATTGTAATGTTGAAATGCTATGTGCCATAACAAATGGGTATTTACAATGTTAATTGTCTGACAGTAGTATTGCTAATGTGTTTGTAAAATCCCTTATGCAGTGTAAGTAAAGGAATCTGGGTATAAGGCCCCGTTCACACCAGAAAAACTCCAACAGTTAAAATCCTATCCATTCCTATGGGGCCCATTTACGCAAACGTGCATAATCGTGCGTTCCCCGCACACATAAAATAACACATGCCCCCCCCCCCACACACACACACATAAAATAATACACTCCCCTCGTTCAAAGCCGCCCCCTCACCAGCTTGCATCTTTGCAGGGAGGAGGCACGATCTGTGGTGATCTAGTCGTCTGGTGGAGACCTTACTAATCCATCCATTCAGCTGGCATTCACTGTAGACTGTCAGAATGCCGGCCATAAGGATCCGTGTGTCGGCACTGACAGGATCAGCAATGCGGTCTGCATCCGGCAAAGATGCGGAATGCGTAGCTGCTCTCGCCAGTTGGGTACACAGTGCCTGACTTGTCAGCTGGCTGCGGCCAACATAGTACCGGTTCGCGGGCCAGTACTTTCAGACCCCTGCCCTATAGTGTATGAAATCTGGCAATATATTGCCTTAATTTTCATGTCGGTGTGCAACTTAGGTTGCCAAATTGCCAAGTTACTCACAAAAAGATAATTTTCAAAATTGGAGTGGCATCCTTCATTTCTGGATGAAAAACTGAACTGTGCAGATAGGCTGTGTACCCTATATGTGTTGTACAACTCAGCAGTTTCATGTGATCTCTTTATGCAACGAAATTCACAAGGTTTTCTGACCTTTTTTTTTTTGTCAGCAACAGACCCTCAGTTCACATGAGCATATATTCCTGCTAGGTCTTGTAGGCAAGATTTCCGAGTCAACATGAAGCATGCGATGGTGTGATTTCCATCTACTTGCGGTTTCTGTTATCTATCAGTGTGTTTTTTAAACAAATTTGTGTCCTTATTTTTCCTATATCCTCTCTGAATCATGGCAGCATTGGAAAGTCTGCAAACAATTCTGAAATTTATGTTATCTGGTGTTCATCTTTATTTGAAGCTCACTCCTTCAGCAGCTCATGAGATTGTGTGTAAACATTGACGCGCTGAGTCATTGTCCTGAATATTATCTAAATGAGCAGGATTATTTGTTGCTCTCACTGCTTTTACAAGCTATACAATAGACCTCCTTTCTGCCAGTACTCCATTTTCTCTTGCTGTTTGAAGGTTACCTGCTCGGCCTTTGTGCTTGTACACTTTCTGTAGATGGTTCATTATTTATAGATAAATATATGCAATCATCGGGAATGATTTGCAAAAACGTTCACTTGCTTTAATGTTACATAGAAAAATGTTTACATTATACAAATACATGACCTAAGTATATGATCAAATCAGGCATTATGTTTAAAATGGGCTGTTCTGCTGCAATTTTAGACAGTTTTAGATCAATTTTAGTTTAATTTTGTTGCCATTAATAATGTGTTTAAACTGATAGTTTGTATGTGTTTCTACTGTTTCTGTAAAATGTGTGTATGATTAATAAACATTGAAAGGACAGGTTCAGTCATTTACAACAATTTTCAACACCCCCCAGCCCCTTTTCACAGCCCCTAACAATATAATAAAGACCCCCTCATAGCCTTTTATATTGAGATCTGAAAGTGGGAATGGTTCAGTAGTTTAGCTCAAGACATTGGGCAGGCTTGACACCGCCGAGTCCACAAAAATGCTGTGTGTTATCAGCCTACAAATGGATTCATCAGGGCTATTCACAAAAGGGTGAAGGGTTTGGAGAAGGCAGGAGAAGTGAACAATCTAGGACAACATAGCTGAACTGGAAAGTGAGCTGAACTGGAGAATTTTTCCATATCGGCTATTTTGTCCTAGATTGTTCACTTCTGCCTTCTCCAAACTCTTCACCCTTTTGTGAACGACCCTGCAAGATTTGAGTGCATTTCTGGAAGATCAACCGGTATTGTTCTGTAATTGCAGAGTCTTTAAAATGTGTCCCTGCTGCCTCTGCCGATACAGGCAGGGAGAGCAGCAGGGATTAAAAGGCACACAGACTGCTAGAGCACCAGCGGGGAGGAGAATTGAGGAGCAGAGTGGCAGCAACTAATCGATGATGAGAATAGTTGCCAACGATTATAATAAATTTAATCGATTAGTTGTTGCAGCCCTAGGTAAATGTATACTTTTTTTGGAGGCTGTAATCCTTCAAATGATATTTCTTATTTATCTTCTGAAATCAAAACAGGGAAATTATTCCTTAATGGTGTGGACATTATATGTTCTTTTTTTTATTGTGTTGCAGGTGCAGTAATGTGTGACTCATGACATACAAAAGGGAAAGCATTCTTTCCCACACTCCACCTATTGCATGTAGCAGTCTTGCCAGGTAAGTGACAGATACCTGTGAAAATAATTGTTATTGTGCAATTTAAAAAATAGTTACAGTAGTATTGTTTTTGACTTTGGGATCCCTCTTCCCTTTCCATTTGAAAATGGAAGTCCTATGCAGTCTTTTAAAGATTTATATATACATCCCTTATTTCCAGGTGTTTTTTTAGGTCCTGTCTGGTGACACCACAGGGCTTCTTCACTGTCTTATTCTGGTTGGAGGGGATCCTCAAGACTGCAGAGAATGGTGCCACATAATTGCATGCATCAACAAGGGTTGTGTTAACATCTTTTGCTTTGGCACACGTTACCATGAATTGACCCGCTCTGTGGTGAGATTTTGGGATATACCTTTTGCAATGACTTGAATGGCAAGTTGCATCCCTTGTTAATAGCAGTGGCTGCCTCTGTAGGTAGGATGTACAGCATGGGTCTGTTTTGCCCAATTTCCCTGAGTGCTTCCTAAGCTGGGTTCTCCTCAGTCACCCCCTACCTGTACAGGAAGTTCTGCAAGATTTCCGAAAATCCTGCCAGATGATGGGCATGCTGGCACTGGAAAATAGACTCTGACTAGATTTTTTTTACAGTTTTACAAAGGGCTGGCTCTCTCCTTACATTGAGCTCTCAGAGACAGAGTTTGTTTATAAAAAAATAGTATTTTACATACAGCGTGCAGCATGTTTTTGTTTAAATGGAAGATATGGTGACAGGTGTACTTAGGCCTCATTCACACTGGCAGTCCTGCAATTCTTGAGTCTCATGCAATCTGCCCCATTCACGAGTGTGAATGGGGCTTAAGATGGCCATACATCTATACATTTTCATTCGGAAATTTCTGTTGCTGCCAAGAACCCTCTTTCGATTCTAACTCAAATAGCCCATCATGCACAGACCAATGTTGATTTTGAGAATCGTTCGTTAGCAATACTAACTCACCGAATTTCATCGGTCAACGGAACGGATTTTCATGTGCATTGTTCTTGCTTTGCATGTGCATTGTTCTTGCTGCAATTTTTCTTTTCCTACGAAAACGCCACTAATCCATCGATTGAAAAAGGTTTCCCAGCCTGACCGAGTAAATTCGGCCAGGAGTACAGTAATTAAAATAGTCGGTGTCCTTTCAACTGATCGATTTATTGATCAAAAAGACCATTCGTGGACGATTTACGAGCGAAATTCGATAGGTGTATGGCCACCTTTTTAGAGGTTCCTTCTTTAAGACACGTGTACATCCATTTAGCTATGTTTAGCGTTTCTAGTCGGATCTTGAATACACAGAGTTCTATTTTCCCAGCTAAACTGAATGTAGGTAAACATAAAATTTGAATCATATTATTGAAAATCAGTTACCTGCATTTATGTGCGTTTAGAAATGTGCACTAAATGCATATAAAGGGACCTAAAGAGCACTGTGTTATGTCTTTCGGTAACTTACCTTGTTTTCCTTGTACTATATTAATAAGGTATTACCTATTAATATAAGGTATTAATGTACTACCTTTGTGCTCTATTTGGTATCTTCCATCTCTGTTCGTTCTTACAACAGCACCGGGTAAACGGAGCCTGTAACTGTAGATTTGGAGAGTACATAACTGCAGTACCAGGCACAACTCTGCTCCACGATCTGTAGTCGGCAGGGCAGTTAGGATTGTTTATTTGTGTGTGTGTAAAACACACACACACACACACACACACTCTCTGTTATCTGGTATGCAACTAACTAGAACTCTCTCGTATAACCAGAAAAAAAAAAAATCCCCTGTGTACTCACTGTTTTGCTGATCTGCGGCATGTACTCTCCTGGAAACGATTTTGTGCCTTTTTTTTTTTTTTTAAGTATGTCTATTTGTCCTAATTTGCTTTTGATTACTACATTTCAATTTTAATATGAAGTCCAATACAGAGTTAATGGTATAGTATAGTCTGTGGTATGTCATTTGTTAGACATATTTTTAATAGGAAGTCTCAACAATCAGAAACTGCATTTATCTGGAATCTACCAATCCCCGTGAATGCAGGATAACGGGGAGTTTAGTGTGTGTGTATACACTATATTGCCAAACGTATTAGGACACCCCTCCAAATCATTAGATTCAGGTGTTCCAATCACCTCCATGGCCACAGGTGTATAAAATCAATCACCTAGGCATGCAGGCTGCTTCTACAAACATTTGTGAAAAGGTGCCCATACACCTTACAACCATCGCAAGACTTTTGTCTTGCGATGGTTGAAAGGTAATTTAGAAAACATACGATCTGCCCAACCTTGGAAAAGCAGATCGTACTTGCGATCATCGCAATGCGATCACTGCAATGCTGAACGGGCAGTGTTTCTCGGCGGGTTTTCAAGCCTGCACGGGAGACAAAAGATGTGCGACCGTACAGAAGAAACGCTCGCACGCCTTCCATACACCTTGCGATTCGTATGTACGATAATCGCAAGGTGTATGGGCACCTAAAGAATAGGTCGCTCTCAGGAGCTCAGTGAATACAAACGTGGTACCATGATAGGTTGCCACCTGTGCAATAAGTCCATCCGTGACATTTCCTTGCTACTGAATATTCCACGGTCAACTATTAGTGGTATTATAACAAAGTGGAAGCAACTGGGAACAACAGCAACTCAGCCACAAAGTGGTAGGTCACGTAAAATGACAGAGCGGGGTCAGCGCATGCTGAAGTGCGCAAAAGTCACCAACTGTCTGCAGAGTCAATAGCTACAGACCTCCAAACTTTGTGTGGCTTTCAGATTGGCACAACAACAGCGCGTAGAAAGCTTCATGGAATGGGTTTCCATGGCCAAGCAGCTGCATCCAAGCCTTGCATCACCAAGTGCAAAGCGTCGGATGCAGTTATGTAAAGCACGCCGCCACTGGACTCTAGAGAAGTGGACATGTGATCTCTGGAGTGATGAATCACACTTCTCTGTCTGGCAATCCGATGGATGGGAAACATTCCCATAGACGCACTCCTAAACCTTGTGGACAGCCTTCCCAGAAGAGTTGAAGCTGTTATAGCAGCAAAGGGTGTGCCAACACAATATTGAACCCTACGGACTAATGTGTAAAAATATTTAACAAAACTGAAATTCCATCTAAACAGAGGTAATCCAATAAATGATGGGATTAATCAGATTCTTTCACCAAATTTTTATACCAAAATAAACATTAATAATAATATGCACAAATATAACAGAATTAAACTGAAAACTCCTCCTAGCTCGATCTAAGTTCAAACAATAGAAAAGTCCATTTCATATATTTTACTACATACTCCATTTGGGGTCATTTTATTCTGCAAGTATGTGATGTATTCCTGGGTTTTTTAGCCGCTTTGTGTACAGTTTTGTATTTTTCTAGAATCTGCTTACATGTATCATTGATTGGATTATCTCTGTTGGAAGGGAATTTTAGTGAGTTTTTGTAAAATATTATGTTGAAGTAGATATCTTTTCACCATGTATTGAAATAAGATGTCCACACCTTTTCCCTTACCCTTATATTATATGTAAAGAAAATGACTGCAAAAGCAATTCATTTAAAGCAGGTGGAAATGATTAACCCTTGCAGTGGAGCTCCCTCCACTCTGCAAGAGTTACCTGCCCTGAGGAAGTTATACCTGCCCAATCTTTGGAGCCGGCCAACTGTGACAGCGCTCCCTCCAGCCTGTCTCCTCTTCCACTGCAGCAATACAATGTCCCTCAGCTTCCTCTCGCTTTATACACTATGTATAGAACGTGAAGATTTATGGGACCTTAGACTGTTGCAACAGAGTAAGGCAGAAGGGGAGCGAGGCAGAAGGGGTTGGTCTAAGGCTGCGTTCACACTTGACCGTTTTGTAGGGCGTTCTACGCTCGACGAATGCTCTACAAAACGGTCAAGAATATCAATTGCATTGTAGTCAATGCCCTCGTTCCCACCCCGCCGTATTTCCGCCCGTCCCTAACGCCCTACAAAACGGCCCATGCCTGAAAAGGTCCCGGGACTACTTTGGGCCGTTTTGTAGGGCGTTTTCCATTTGGATACTGCCAAGTAGCCTTTGGAATCGCGCGACTTTTTTACCGCGAATCGCGGTTAAAAAAACGTGTGACGGTCGCGCGACAGACGCGCATATTACAATACGCCTAGGTGTGAATGGGGCCTTAGAGCATTCTAGCTTGGGCGATCAAGTGGGTATAACTGTTTTTTGTTTTTGTTTTTTGATTTCTTCCCTAGACACAAATAAGTACTTAAGCCTTGCAGTGCAGGGGTGGCCCCACTGCAAGAGTTAATAATCAATTCCCCCAAATATACACTAAGCCGTTTGTTTTAGACTAAAGAATGCTGATATTTAGGGCTGAGCACTGGTTACATGGCTAAATGCTGAGTTGAAATGATTATGTGAATGCTTTAACTGCCAATATATTTGTTTCTGCTCAGCCAGCCATTCTTGTGATTTACACACCCTTGGTACATTGCATAACAAATTGAGTGTCACAAGGGAAATGCTGGGGATTCCATTATTAGGCATGCATTATTGGAGCTAGAGGATTGTTTATTTTTTTGCTGTTTTTTTTTTTTTTTGTGGCCAACCAGTCATGGAATTTACACATTCATGCCTGACACCACTTTTATCAATGCATGTAGCACAACTGATTACCTCTAGTGTTGCCCCTCCTTTTCCAAGTCTTATGTGCTGCTGTATAAAATAATATTAGAGACTACAAAAGCCACACTTGGGTATTTATAGCAGCTGCATATAGGGAAAATACATGTTGGGGTGTATTTACTGTATGAACAATTTGCAAACCCATTAGCCGTGCAAAATTGCATGTACATTCATTCTGTGTGAAGGGAGTCAAAAAACACATATAAGCTTATTTTTTCCCCCAGATCTAATGTAATTGCAAGTAAATACTGCACTAAATGGAGCTGATGAGCATAGGAGATGCTTATTTTATTAAGTTTATCAGCTCCATGTAGTGACATTAATGCAGGATTTACCCAAAATGACATTCGA